GAAGGATGGTAATTACTAGGAAAATTGCTGAATTTACATAAATTTATTTAAACCATTATTTTTTTCAACTACCACCTCCCATTCTAATCTATTATTATTATATCAGGTGTTAGGTCTTGTTCATAGTTGTCAAACACTACCTCTTCATTTTCAAAATACTTATATTCATTATTTGTTTTATTATCTAGTAGTGTGTTTGTATCAAGAAATAATTCTTTATACTCAATAATACAATTAAATGTAACTTTTTCTATATTAGCATTTTTACCAAAGCCTGATACTGTTCCAAAGAACTACATAAGAGCCCTGAATAGTGGTATAGATTGAGTAAAGTGCCATTGTATTGTTTTTGCTAAGTAATTATACTCTATATTAACATATATTTCATGTTTTTTAGATTTATTTAAAGCAACTAAATGACTAAATAAAACCTTGGTTGGTTTTATTTTATTATGATCAAGAGTGCTATATAAGAGGCAGATTTTTTTATCAGGTTCGTTTATATCATAGGTTGGGTTAAAGGTGTCTTTGATATTTTTTAAACACCATTTAACATATTTATTTCATTCTCTTCTATTTATTTTACCTGAAATGAAAGTTATTTTTATAAACACAGAAAATCTGCTAGTTTTATTTACTTTGACAGAAAGAAAAATGTGAATTGTTTTATCAAAAAAATAATCATTTTGTTTATTGTATTTAGCAAGTTCACTAGCTTTTTTATAAGAGTCATATTTGGCTTTTTGTTTTTGATAATTGTTTTTATTAGAGCATCTAGGTGGCATTTGTAAATTTGACAAGATGAATTAACAAAATGAAAATATTTACATCAAAGAAAAGTTAGTATCATTTATATAGAAATTTTTTCAAAGCAATCATATATATTAATTATTTAAAATTTTTTTTATTTGTTTTAAGGATACTATTAGAATAAAGCCAGAAAAATTTAACAAGTTTAACTAGACAAAGGGAATTTGACAAATTTATCTAGATTTGAATTTATTTAGACAAAAGGAATTCGATGAATTTATTAAACAAAAGAAATTTGATAAGTTTACTTTTAATTAAAATATTGATTTTTTAAATTTTTTTTTTTAATTAAAGGAGATCTTCTTGGTCGGCAATTTTTATTAAGTTGAGTTTAGACACTATATATTTAGACAAAGGTACATCAAGCCACATATGCACCTTTTGGGTGTTTAATTTAAGTAGTCTACCCAAAGATTCTACACTATTTGCCGTATCTGCATCTCAACTAGAGGGATACCTAGTGTTCCGCAAAACTGAACCGAAACCCAAACCAGAATCCACTCGTTCGATCTAAGTTCAGTTTTATGATTTTAAGAACCAACTGATTCTGAGTATTAGATATAGGTATCTAATTGACTCGCATAAATTTGCATATGTTAATCACCTGACCTTGAACAAATAAAATGTTAGTGATCGATTGAATTTAAAAATTCTTTGCGCTTTAGATATTTTTCTTTTTCGCCCATAAGATTTTAACAGTTACATTACTACTAAGAGCGATAGAACTATTTTCTTTATTTTTTAACGGACATAGTATCATTGAACTTTATAATTATAGTAAAAGTTACTATTGAAGATAAAAGGTCAAATTAGCCATTTTGGCTTTTTTTCACATATATATATTTTTTTTCAATTTTTTTTTTTTTTAAACCCCAAGTATAGTACCATATAGGTATACTTATCTACCTTTTCTATCCTTTATAGTTAGATTGAGCAAATTAATGGTTTATATATATAAACTTTTCTTAGTTTTTAATTTTTACAAATAGAAAATGATACAGAATTAATAGGCAGTATCTATATAGACAACTCTTTTCTAATAAATGATAATATCAATGATTTTCATATTGAACCAGAAAAACCAGAAAGTTCATATAATATTAATAAAGTTGATAATCTAGAAACCGATGAATCCTTACAAGCAGAGTTGGTTGTTAGCAACAAGTCTTCTTTACGTTCTAGATCATTTGTATAGAAATATTTCAAGAAAGAAAAAAATAGTTCTTTTGCGAAGTGTAATTTTTGTTACTCTAAAAAACTAATTAAATGTGTAGATGGTTCAACATCAAGTCTTAGAAGACATCTTGCTATACATAAAGGGAAGGTGCCTAAACTGAATAACAAAGAATCAAATATCTCCGTTGCAAATTTGCTAAAAAATCAACGATTTGCTAATAATTGCTCCTGTGAACCATTTGATATAAAAATGTTTAAGCTCTTGTCAAATATTGAATTATTAAATATAATCGACTATTTAATATCATTAAAGATGATAGTTTTAAAGAAATATTCATATACTTGGAGCCTAAAGCAACTACACCTTCTGCAGACTTAGTAAGAAGGCATATGATTGTTGACTTTGAGGAAGAATGTAAGAATCTTAAAAAAAATACCTGGAAAATTGTCTATTACAACTGATATATAGACAATGGACACAAATGATAAATCTTTTATAGTAATTACACTTCACTATATAGATAAATCTTGGAAATTAAAGTGTATTCTTTTGGACTTTATAAATATGGATGAGTTATATAGTAGTTCTGAAATTGCTAAAAATATAGAAGGCTGCCTTCAATCAATAAACATTATATCAAAGCTAATAGTAATCATACATGACAATGCGTCTTCTAATATTAAATTTGTGCAGAAATTTTCTAATACCATAATATGGCTTGGTTTTCAGTTTGATAGTCAACAACAATCTATAAGATGCTTTGGACATGTTTTAAACCTTGCTATACATAGTTTGCTAAACGTTGCAGGAGATGAACTTAAAAAATTACAAGAGTTAATCAAAAGTATTCAAGAATCACAAGTATGTTGTAAAAAGTTAAAAACTACTTGCTTAATTCATGAAATAAACCTTATAAAACCAATTCTCAACATTGTTATCCAGTAGAATTCTACGTGTAGCATGTGTGAATGAGTGATAATATTAAAAATTGTACTGGATACCATGGCTCTTACTGAGATAGATTTGTGCCAATATATTCTAACAAAAGAGGAATGAGAAAAAATAATGCTCCTTGTTGAGGTTCTTAAACCATTTAAGGATATAGTAACAATTATGTCAGGATTGGAATATCCAACTTTAACAATGGTTGTTCCTTTATATTATACACTTTTTGAAACCTTAGAGGAGGCTAAAAGAAAAAGTCATTAGCTAATTCAAGGCTGCGAAGCTGCAGAAAAAAAGCTTAAAAGTTATTGTGAGAAAACAAGTATGTTATATCTTTTGTTCATAGTATTAGATTCATGATTTAAGTTTTGATATTTTGAAACACTTAACTGGCCATTGCAACTTATTAATAAAATTAAGGACATTATTAAAAATAAATATGAAGATGAGTATGCACCATATTCTGATCCAAGCATATCACATGAAATCACTGCATAATCTACAATTATGTTCTGAATTTATAAATAAACATATGTAGATCAACAAAGTGAATTAGATACATACTTGAATACATGATATGTAAATTCAGATATTGATATATTAGAATAGTGAAGGACAAATGAATCATGTTATCCAAATCTGGCAAAATTTGCACGAGATTGTTTTTTGATCTCTGCAACAAGTGTTCCAAGCGAGGAGGTATTTAGCATTAGTGGAGATATGATAACTAATAAACGGAACTGGTTATCTGAAAAAATAGTGAGGTTAGCAATGTGCCTAAGGTCATGGTGGAGAGGAGAAAAACAAGCAAGATTAAATTGGGCTTATAAGTTCAAATAAAAAAAAAAAAAAATAGAAAATCGAATAGAAAAATCAAAAAAAAAATCAAAAAATCAAAAAAAAAAAGGATATAGTAGTTTGTTATTATTTTTTTTTATATAAATAATCGTGATAGGTTAAAAAAAACATGCACAAAACATTCTTATTATCAAAAATCTGCAAAACGGGGATTCAACTAGTGGTTTTATATTGATCAATGCAAAGCATTACAGTATTATCAAAGCCCAGGGATTAAAATCAAAATAAATAAATATAAGGCATTCTATTATTTTCAAATTCTGCTAATATCAAAATTTTATTAGCTTTAGTTATATTTTTTTTCTTATTGTATGCTTAGGCATTTGAATATTTAGTAGTAATACTATTACATTTTATTAGTTCTTATAAAATGTATTGTAAGCAATAAAGATTTATAAGACTTGTACTTAGAATAAATTGAAATTTCATATAATTGTAATTTTGAACACATGATATTTAGTTTTTGAGATCAAATTTTTGGCAATTTAGAAGTTATGTTTTGGATTGTATATTCAAATCAATTGATACAATAATGCAAACCGAAATTTTGTAAACCTGGTACTTTATGTATAACGTGTGAAAGTTAATATGAAATTTGCTTTTTTGTAACTTAGGCCATGCAAAATTAATTAATTGGTTTTCATAACCCGGCCGGGTCAAAATTTGAAAATTTCAAAAAAAAAATTTTTATATGTTTTAATAACCGGGTGGGTTTTAAAAAAAAAATTAATATAAATTTTGTAAAATTTTATATATGAAATTTAAAAAAAAAAGCCGGCCGGCTGGGTCTATTTAAAAGTTTCATGTTATGAAAACCAAGTAATTAAATTTGTATGACCTTATATAAAATTAATGTAAAATTTATAATTTATTAGGTAGTTTAACTGTTTGTAAATTATTTTCGTTAATAACTATTTTTATTTGTGAATTTTGATGTGCAATAATCAGGTCCCGGTTCAGGTTTGGGTTTGATAATATGGTTTCAGGTCTGAATATAGAATCGAACTGGATTTTTGATTCAAGTGTGGTTTTGCACAAAACCCGGACCAAATCAGACCATGCAGAACACTAGGAGTACCTATTTAAACTCTCTGATCTTAACATATATGCGGATATAACTTACTATTTAAATGTAGGTTTTGCAATACCACTATATAAACAGCCAACTTTAAACATTTTACTATCCTCGAAGATAAGCCCAACAGAGTGGTATATGTCTCACACATGCATTCACCTGCATGTTTCATAATATCTTCCTAGTTAGTACTTATTGTGCTGCTGATACCGAGTCCGTATCTCAAGCTATCCTTTAGAGCACTGCCATAACCCGATCCGTATTTCAAACTACAACTTTCCTAATTAGTTTTCCATTATGTACTCATTGCTTTAACATTTTACAACAACTCTGGTACCCACACTTGGAACTGTCTCCTTACCTAGATTCTCTATTAGTCTCTCTCTTATTTCCAGCTAGCAACCTGGAAGGGTTGGTTTGCTCAGACTTTAGGTGCCTAAAGGATGCCCTTCCCTTGGTTTATACTTTCAGAGCATATGCTCTTTTTTTCTAGTGCAACAACTCGGCGGTTCAGCTAATATGTTCTCCGCTATAAAACCTGGTCGCTCGGTTCTCTAATTTTGGGCCCCAGTTCGAATTCAGCCCTCCTGTGATACTGTCAAAAATCACTATTACATCCAGATTTGGGACTTCCCAAATGAGTTTTTGGTTATGCTAGTTTCTCAAATTTATTGTGCCAAAGCTTCCATTACAAGATGGTGTAATCGAAGTTACAGATTTAGTTCTAAATCCAACCAATAAGCATAGCCGTTAACTGAACACAGATCTATTTTTCAAATATCATCACCAGTGGGATTTGAACTCTAAACCTGCTACTTGGAGAGGGTGACGACTAGATCATTACACTAAGTCGCCACATCTCCTATTGATTTTTTAAATATATAAGTCTGTTATACTAATTATTATTTATTATTTTCTAGATGGTTATTATTTGAGTGCTACCAAGGGAGAACTTGTAATTCTTCATTTAATAAGAATTACGGGTTTTTTCTTAGCAATACTTATTTTAATATAATCAGTATTATAATTTCTCAGCAAGTTTATCTTGTTGGTACAAATATAGAAAATAGATCTCAATATAGTTTATATATCATTATTTAATACTTAACTATTTAGAGAGCTATTGATGTATTGCAACATGATTTTTTGTATTATTTATTAGAAGTATTATTGCATATTTTCTAAATTTATATATTATTTATATATTGAGTTGTAAATATAGAAAATATTATAATGTAAAAAAATTTTAAACCTGAAAATCACTTAAAAAGAGTTTTTTACATACTATGTTCTTAATAAACAATACTTACAAGAGTATTAAAAGAAGTGATAAGTAATTTTTAATCTTTTCAAAAATATTCTTATAATGATTGTTTATAATACAATTCAAAATACTATCATGAACCAAATAAGTTCTAACTTTCTTTTTAAAAATGTTGATCAAATTGTATTATAATACAAATCGAATTACTATTACAAATCAAATAATATTCGATTTTATCTAATTTAACTAAATTACATTTTGTATGATTGAATTTAAAACTAAAGAAATTTTATTGTTATATAACAAGCAGTTCGCATTTTCTTTCAATAATAGAATTATACATAAATAATTAAATATAAGTATGCATTGTAATTAAGTAGTTATGCTATATTTATTTTAAAATGCACAAGTTTGTAATTATTGACCATGCGATTGTATTTCTTGACTCTGATATTTAGCTTTATTATTTTAAAAAATATTTAAAAGAAGGTAAAATTTGTTAGTATAAAGAATTACTTGTGAAATAAATACAATAAATCAAAAGCTAATTCCTTATAATTATAAACTAATTTTAATAACTCTTGCACTGACAACTTTACTGCACTCTTGAACAATCTATATATTTTTTAAGTTAAAAACACACCTAATTATCCAAATTAAAATTAAAAATTTTAAAAACTCATTTATATCCAAATATAATAATAACTTTTCTAAACTCAAATTCTTTTATACTTCAATAGGTTAACTAAACCCACAAAAAAAGTATCTTAAAAATAGCAGAACTTCATGAAATTGTGAACAATGAAAAGCATTACTTGATAATCTAATTTTAATATTTGCTCAATTAAATGATAGCGATTTCAATTATATAATGAAAAAAATATTTGAGTCTCAAGAAATGAAAACTTGTGTTCAAAGAAAATATAGTGATTTGCTTATATATATTTGTAATTTACCTGATCAACAAATATTTGATATGTTTTTTCTTTTTCAAACAATGGTCTATACTCAGAAAATCATCAAAGAGAGCTAATTTCTGCCTATTTGTAAAAAAAGGCTCAAAATTTTATTAGTAATAGTCTTTATAAATTAAATAATAGTCTTTATACACTAAAGCTACTAAATAAAAAACTTAAAACAAGAGAACAATCAGTTAAAAAAATATAAAAGTACAACAAGTACTCAAATTCGCACACTTTCTATACAATTAGCAAGAACAAAATAAACAAAACAAAGGCAAATTTCAAAAATTTAAGCCACTATTTATAAAGCAAAGCAAATTCAACCTGCTCAATTTCAATGCATAGCCAATAAATTGTTTTAAGCTAATAATAAAGAATATAATGCAAAGTTTGTAAAATTAGTTATGGATATTAGTAACATTAGACAAACTTCTATACATGCAACAGTAGAATGTACTAAAGCCTTCTACCAATTCTTAACTAGAGAAGCACTATATCAGTGAGTAATGCCAAGCACTTTAGTACAATAGAACAATGAAATGACAACTTTGTCTTTTAATTAAAACTATCCTATAGATACTTGTTCAAGATTTTTTTGCTATAGCATTATGGTCAATGAAAGTACTAAAGAAGAAAAAAAAATACTAATTATTTGTTATTCATATTAAAATAATATTAAAGAAAAACCTGTGATTACTGTAGTAAAATTAACAGATCTAATATATTGCAATGCTGAAACGGTTTTAACTACAGTATTTGAAACATGTTAACAAAAGATATAAATTCACAGAAATGACATTTTTGGCTAACTGATAACACAGCCTATATGTTTTTAGAATTAAATAGTGCTGTTGCCAAATTCAACTTGTTATTAATATCTAAATCTTTTTGGGTTTCTTGTGGATTGCACGTGACTCATATGCTCTAACAAATTTCGAAAATACAGCATTTGGAAAGTTAGATACTGTTAGAGAATTATCATTAAAAGAGCATCTATATAACTTACTTAATACCTTCACAATAGATACGATGTTTCGGATAAGGACAGTCCATTAAACCTAAAATCTAAAACATTTCAAAAGCTCCATAAAATAATATTTAATTTTGAAATGAATAAGTATCAACAATCTATATGTCAATAGTGATTATATGAACTTAAAACTGCTAAAAAATATCTCAATAGATGCAAAGTTCATATTTCCTTTACAAGGTTTTTTATTAAGCAACTTGAAAGTGCTAAAAATATCCCAAAATCATACTTTTATAAGTGGCAAATATTTTTTAAGTAGTTAACAAATAAACAGCTTAATCTTTAAATACGATGCTTAGTTTAGTTTGGTCAAAATTTTTATAAGCCCTTTTTAATTGGCCATGATCCAACTCCACATATTTACTAACAAAATGACATATATACTGTTTTACTATTAGGAAATTGTATATATGAAATGTCAGATAGAGTAATTTTATGGATTAAAGAGCTTCAAGATTATTTAAAAGATCTATATAAATTATTTGGAGATGAATTAGCTGATGCTGAACATGAATTAAGTATAACAGATTTAAAAAATTTTCATGAATCATTACATACTAGAATAGAAAATGCATTAAATAGTTTTATTAAATGGATGGAAACTTGGGTTCACTTGCCTTTATATGTTTGTTATTTAAGTAGTGAAAGTGAAACTGAATTCGCTTGTATTTTTTTGAAAATATTCTTTAATAAAAACTTTTTATATCAAAAGAGATTTCTTATACTAATCTCTTAAAAAAAGATTTGTCTAAAGGACATCCAACCACTTTCAGATTATTAGAAATGTTATTACAGCATGACTTTTTGAAGCATTTATGGATTCTAATATAGCTGAACCAGCTAAATTCTTTCTTTTTTATGAATTTATTAAATTTCGTATATGGTGCATTATAGTTTACTAGCAACAACTTGAGGAACTATTTAATCAATATAATATAAAAGTTTATCCAAATATAAATATTTAGCTACAAAAATCATGTATTCAGCTCTCTGGTTTGGATAACAGTGTTCAAGAAATCTCACAAGATATATTATAAAATACTTGACAAAATGCTAGAAATTTGAGAATTAATATACAGTTAGAAAATAGTGAGGTTTTTGACAAAGAAAAAGTATACAAAATTCTTAACAGCTTCCTTAATTGGAGACGTAAAAATTAATTCATATATAACAATCAAATTTTTTTTAATCAATATTACTTTAATAGCTTTTGTAACAAGTACTTAACTTTTTACTATGATCTAAATAATTTTAATTAATAAATAATGTAAGATCTTGTAGTTGAATGATATTATTTCTTAATAAATTTTTAAAAAATGTGCTTATATTATAAGGGTAATAAATACCTTTTATTATATTTTAATTATACTTTACAGATTTATTTGCAACGTTTTCATTATGTAAAAGCACTTGTAGAGAAAATTCACTTCTAAAATTAATAGATATTGGGAAAGAAAATCAAAGAATAAGCGAAATATTGAATGTAAGTTTAAGTTCTCAAATATCGTTATCTACTTGTACTACTTGTACAACACTATCATATGACTAAATTTGGTACCCATGAAAAAAATTTAATACCCATGAAAAAAAGGTATTTTTCTAGTAAAACAAAAATTTTAGCGTTATTACTATGTGAAGACACCTTTCATTAACCATTCTTTGCTTATAGGGTTAAGCAATGTTAAATATTACGCGAGGAATTAAAAGATATTTCTTATAGTCTTTACTAATAAAAATCGATCGGAAAATTTTTTACTATAAAAAATCTTGATTAGTGATCATCACTATATCATCTGCACTATGTTTGTAATTAGACCGATGTCATACACCCTAGTACGTCCTGGTACATACCCTAGATAGGAGTCAATTTATTAGAGTTTAAAATAAAAATAAACTTACGGATAAAATTATAAATATATAAATAAAAATAAAAAAAGATTGTGTATTAAAATAAAAACGAAAAGTCTTTTTTAATAAAAAATTGAAATGTGTTTAATTATAATTTTAAGTGGATATGTATTTTATACATTTTTATGCTTCGGGCACACTGTCAAACTAGTTCTATTTATTATCATTTCTTTTTTCATATGCATATGTACATAAAAAAAGTAAAGCCCGAAACTTTATTACTTGACAGTTTTCAGATGCATTATTATTTTTCCAATAATTTAACCTTATCAAAGCATTTCACAGAATAATATCAAGAAAGAACGTTGTTTATTCTGTCATGTTAATGATGCTTTTTGTGCTTTTTTCTTTGGTTTTTAGTTCACTTCTTTTGTAGTGGTGTATATCCCTAGAAGAAAATGAGTATGTACAGTACGTACATACGTACGTATAAGGATATTAGTAATTAATCACATATTTATTATTTATGATTTTTTTGCATACACACACTCAGATGGCGGTTTGAATTCGTATGCAATTCCATCATTATCCATAATCTAGAATGTTTATCTTTTCATTATCCTTTTTTCCTATTGGGCCACACCACTTGACACATATCTTTTCGTTGAAATGCACCATAGTTGATCCTCCAAACAATTAAGGATCTGGTCTAGACTGATGGACCACAGTTAGTCTTAAGACCGGTCTAAAACTAAAAAAATTGGGTTTCTCAAATTCGGCTGATTTTTGGAATTGTTAAATCCTCTAAAGTATTAGAATCTAAAAAATAAGCAATGCCAAGAGAACCCCATTTTTTCTTGGACTAGTGATTGAACCCGGGTAGGCGTTACCCGGTTCCCACCAGTACTATACCTATACCGTATTATACTATTGGTATAATACGTACCACATAAGTATAGGTATAATACCAGTAATAAAAATGGGTTAGTCAATCAAATTGCTTTATCTGCAATTCCGAAAGTTTCCCTAAGAAAAATTAAAATGGATGCATACGTACCGTATTATACGTACGGTATTATACTTAGGTATTATACCATTTCTATTATACAGGTATAGCTGCATCCCTACCCACCAGTGATGGTAAATGACCTGAATGACTAAATGACCCAAATGACAAATGACTAGTCATTGGGGCCCAAATGATTTAGAAGATCATTTAACATACGTATGTTAATTGATGATTTATTGCCCTTTAGCCAATCAGAATTTGCCGCCAAACAAATTTTACTATGTCAATTAATATTTATATTTTAAATAAAGTTGTCCGAAATAATAAATTGCATATATTCTGAAATTTTCATGTAAACTGAAGAACTTTTATTAATTCACTTCCGCGCTTCACATTTATACGAAAGTTAATAAAAAGTTTCAATTTATAAATATTAATTGACTTAGTAAGGCTTTGACTTTAATACGTTTATATATATATAGCTACGATTATCGATTAGAAATGTAATAACGATAAAGTTTGATACCTTTTTATATGAGCAATTCTATGCAAATGACCTACGTAATGATCTTGTCATTCCTGGCTTGGATCGGGCATATAAATTTTTAAGCTTGGGCCCAAGTATACAAATACCTAGCCTAGCCTAGCACAGCTTATTTCAAAAGCCATCGCTATAGACTAAATGACCCTCAGATGACCCTCAAATGACCCGGTCATTTCTAAATGACCATGGTCATTTGGCCACGAGTCATTTCCAAAATTGAGATGACCGGTCATTCACGGCGGATCCTCAATGTTAAACCTCGAAAAAATTTTTCCAATGAAAAGAGAGATTTTTTTTAAAGTATGATATTGTTATTAACGGTACAACATTAGTATTCTACAGTAAAAAAGAGGTGGATATTTGAATTAAAGTATTATTACAGTAAATAATAGTGCTTGTGCCGTGCCCGGCATTTACAGAACCCTAATTTGAGTCGTCTTTGAAATCTGTTAAATCTGTTGGAAAGCTAGCTCATGGTCAATATAATGTTGAAATGTTAAAGATGGACACATGTGGACAATCGAATGTTGAGGCCCTATGTCTCAATGGCAAAGGAATTCGAAAGAAAGAGATAAGGCACTCAATTGACATTAGAGATCTAATGAAGTTGGAAACCCTGGATCACGATTATTTGTTGGAATTTACTACCGATCTTAGGGCTATAAAGTCCAAATTTTAGTCGTCCTAGCATTAAGGTAGTGTTGTGCTTGAACAGTCCGAATCTTATATAGCTTATGAATCTATCCTAAAGATGCACACATATATACAAAAGTTTAATTTCGAACAAGTTTAATTAATAATTTAAAGTAGATCATTACAATAAAATTTTCGCTTGCATTATGTCAAATTCTGTCCGAATGTTGTCCGAGTTGTTAGAGTTACAGTATTATGCTAGTGAATAATCAGTTCCGAATTTCGATAAGTTTCTGCTGTCGATTCGGTTATCGGAATTTTTTTAGTTGCCTCAGAAATAATCAAAAGTAATTAATTATAATTATAGATCTACTGTATCGAAAACGCTAGATTTTTATAAAAACGGTTCTAGACTACATTACCAAGACTAACTAAAGTATATACGTACTGTACGTACGTATGTATAGATTACCAATTACGTATCTGGTATATGACGCCCCATGTCAGATATTGAAATGAATTTGCTAATTTTGCATTAGAGGCATTCTCCTACACATACACTAACACTCTTGGAGTTCAATATCGCCAGTCTAACTGGACTGACCAATCAGATTTTTTATTGAGCTACCGGGTTATTGCAAAATATGACGTATGGTAAATTTTTTTTTTATCTAATCTTTATATAACCTTATATTATTATAATATGACAGATTAGTCATAAATGTAATCAAATAATACTGTAATAATAAGCTTCATATAGTTAGAGAAATTTTTTTTTGATATTTATGTTAATTCGCGCTAGACTAACAAATATTTGCGAAATGATTATATGCATGTTGCGCTAACTAAAGGGGAACAGGTACTTGCGTACATACGTATCGGTATGTACCAGGTACGTATGTACGTACCAAGTACGTACGTACGTACGTATCTGGTATGTACGCCAATTTATATTTATTCATGCTTCGTATTCAATTTTAGCATTTTACACAAGCTTTGTTTATTTATTAACTAGATTAACGTTATTAATAGCGAATCATGCTGCGGCCTAAGATTAATTACTATCGTTATCACTAAATTGAAAAAAAATTTAAAAAAATTAACTTTAATGTTGGTGAAACCACCTATATATTGTGAAAATTATTAATATTGCGGTGTAACTTCTACACATCTTACACATTCAAAAATAAGCGTCCCTTGTCTCTATATTAGGTTTCTAAAATACTGCGAGCTGGAATCGACTGTACTGTCTAGGCGTGTTCTTTCCTTGCTTTTTATTACGTCTATGTGCTTCGCGATAAGTTAAATACCTCGACGCGGTAACTATTGATTTTCGTGTGACTATTCCTAACTTTACTATCTTTAAAAAGTCTATTTACCTTTTTTTTTCTTTTCGTACGTTTAGCTAGCAAAGCACGAATCGCAAATGTCAAAATATCAGCTTTCAACACCAGCCACTTCTATTTTTACAACGGATGGCGAATTTGAGTTCAACACTAATAGCTTGAACTTTGAAAACTATCTTTCATCGCCTTCAAGTGAAGAAACAGAAATAATAACTTCCTCTGAGGCTACTCCTACTTCTCCTCGAAACTCCTCTCTACAAGATACATCTAACTCACCGACAACTACTTCTCCAAACCAGCCTTCACGGAATTCAAAACAAAATTTTTTTTCTTTGTTTAAAAAGAGAGATACTTCGAACAGTATAAATACCAGCCCTACAACCCGTTCCATCTCTGCACTACCTCAACAATCACTGGTTGATGCAAATATTCTCGCGCATGATAGCAATTTGGACACTGCAGAAAAAATCGTACAAAATAACAATGATTTAGAAACTAATCATAACGTATCGCAATCCATCATTGGTAGTGCTAGTGCACCAGACCTCCCTGCATTAGACACTAATGCGTTAGATGATGAGTACAATGCAATATTGAAACATCAAACCAGTGATTTAGGCAATCATGCTTCTGATGGAAATGTTGGTTTGGTTAATGACTTTTCCGAAGAAAAACCCTCAAGTATCTCCTCAAAAAAACTTAAAAAAAGAAAAGACAGTATAGCTTCTGAAAAAATGTTTAAAGAAGACTCGGGGTTTAGGGTAATCAATTTTACTCATGTAACTTTAAATATTTATTGCATATGTTGATTATTCGATCTAAGATAAAGCATGATAAAAATTTTTGGTTTAAAATAATATTATCAATGTTTCCTAAATTTATTTTCGGAATAACTTGTAATAAAAATAGCCATCTAAATTAAGACCCTGCATGTCATTACACCCATATTATTATTTTGCTTTATTTAAATTTATTGTCTATTTTTTACTTTAATAGAATACGATGAAAAATACTATGCGTAAAACTTCTACATTTTTCAAAAAACTTGGTAGCAAGGTATACTCAAAATTTTTTCTCAAAATTTAAATCATATCACAAACTTTCTTTAACTTTATATTTTTTTTTCTATATTTAAATATTTTTATATTGTATTATATTATATTATATTACACTATATTATTATACGATTTAATCTTTTCAATTTCAGCAAACCTCTGATAATTCTGCTAATCAAAGTGAACGTCCAGCACTTCCAGATTTTCAAGTACAAAACTCTCAAATTGTATCTTCTGATACATCACAATATCATTTACGAACTAGTATAGATGTTAAAAATGGTTCCTCAATTCTGGATTCTCTCTCTCCTACAACAATTGATGATAGCTTTTCGGATAATAGTGCAAGTATTGATGAAAAAGAATTACTTAAACGTACATTACAAGAGTATTCTTCTGTGTATATTGATTATGAATTAGAAGATGATAATGATCGAAAATCGAATTTGTACCGAATGTCTTTGTTAGGCGCTAACAAAAGCGTTCCTGATAACATTGGTAGAACTTATGATTGGAGTGCTAAAACTTCAAGTGATATAATTGAGAATATGCCAATAAATACAAATTATACAACCAATTTTTTTGATAGTAAAAGAGTAAGCGGAAATACATTTATGAGTTTACCGGTAATAAAAAGTGAAAAGAAAAAAGCAGAATCTAAGATGGTACTGGAAGATATAAAAACATTTAGCTTATCGCGAGTCAAAGAAGAAGATGGTGAAGATGATGCAATTGATAAAAAAATTTCAACAAATAATTCAAAAATAAATATGAAAAGGAATACAAAAAATTCAAGTAAGCACTACGACGTAATGAAAGATGCATGTGTGTTTATTTTTCAGAGATAGGTTTCTTTTAATTATAAATTAAATTGTAAAATAATCTGAAATTTTTACGCAAAATTTATCTAGCGAATTATGAAAGCGTATCCACTACGCCTCCTATACAATCACCCAGGAGTACAGATGAATCATCTCCTAGCCGTAAAAGTAGTAAAAAATCTTTTCATAGCAGTAAATCCACAACATCTCTTTTTACATCAGGTTCTTTAATGGCCGAAGCTGAAGAACACATTGCATTATATTCATCTATGTCATTACAACAACGAAGAGTCGTATTGAATAAAAGCGCGTCTCACGGTTCTTTAAAGGATACAAAAGATGAAGATACGATTTTTGATAATAGAACATTGAGAGCTAATTTAGATTCAAGATGTTTAAATGTGAAGTCAAGACCGGGAAGCGAAACAGGTACGAATTCTGGTCTCAGCCCAGCTACGATTCCAAAACGGCCGGATAAAAAATTGCCGGATATACCAAAAATAGACTTAAAATCTGAGGCTGATGTGTCAAACTCTCGTTCACCGCATCGTCAAGCTTCCAGCATTGCCAGCTCTAGTTATGAAACTGCCAGCGGTTCAACTGCAACTCTTCATACCGCCCCACCTTCACCAATAACGGACATTATAGACCCCTCTAACCCTGAAGGAACTACACCAAAAATACAGGTTGACGACGTCGCATTTATATCTAGCCCACTTGAGACTCATTTTGATGAAGATGCTAGCGAGGTTTCTCTTTCTGAAGCAAAACTTGCCGCCAAAAGGTGCCTCGATGAAGATGAAACTTTTATTAAAAAAAGTTCAATCGCAGAGTTCCTAGGTGGAACGTAAGTTGCTTTTATAGAATTTATGTTTACATATTCATATTATTTTACTAAATATATTATTATTATTATTATTATTACAGAAAATTTTTGCAAACTCAAGCATTGAAATTTTATATGGAATATTTTGATTTTTCAAATTTAAGAATAGACATGGCATTTAGGTACGTTATTCCTTTGGCATTATAATAAATAATGAATACATGTAATACACCGATCCCCTTAACTACCTTTATTTGGTATAGGCGCCTATGTGGAAAATTATACATAAAGGGAGAAACACAACAAGTAGATCGTATTTTGGAAGCATTTTCAATTCGTTATTGGGAATGTAATCCAAAATCAATATATGGTAGTGCTGGTAAGTCTTTCTCTGTTATGTTATTATAAATTTGTGTACTATTCCGTGATGTCAAATTCAAAATTATTCTTTCGTTTTAGACATTGTTCATGCAATCGCATATTCGCTTCTACTTTTAAATACCGATCTCCATATCGCTCAACTTTCTAGTAAGATGTCACGTTCACAATTTGTACGGAACACAATGGCTGCAATCCATGCTCAAATCAACCAGGCAATGCATAGCCCCACTGAGGCATATGAAGATGATCAAAGTACAATAACATCAGTTGATACAAATGTAACATCAGTTACTGCACGTCCACGTCGTAGCGGGAGTATTAAAAGCTGGCGAAGTAACACAAATTCAAGCATGGCAAGCTTGACATTCATACCTAATGGTTCCTCACGGCAGTGGGATTTGGAATTAGAATCCCTTTTAAAAGAAATATATACAGCCATAAAAAATAATCAAATAGTGCAGCCATTTACATCTGAACCTGAAAGAGTACAATCGGATTCCTCGAACAATCTTTCACCAACAATACAACGTAGTATTAGTCTTTTAGGGCATCAAAGCTCTAGAATTAATGCTCTCAAGAAAGGGATTGCTGCTGCTAATGCGAGAGCTCGCAAAAATGCGAATGGTAAAGTTTCTCCAATTTCTCCAAGTCCCAGCTTTGGAAGCATTGGTAGTGACACAAGCCTCGGAGTAAGAAATGATGTTATTTGTTTATGATTTGTGTTTACCTCATATTGTTATTTCTTATTTAACAAATAATTATCGGTAAATTTAGGCTGATAGTTTGGCTCGCTCAAGTTCTCAAACATTGCCTACATTATCTTCATTTTCGCTGCGCCACACATCTTCATCAGAAACAGCACTTACGTCCACAATAGCCGAGTGTAATGAGGATGAATTCGATAATGACAGAGCATCCATTGATTCAGCATCCACTTCTGAATCGTTGGAGTTATACTTATCTGGTGCACCATATGCCAAAGAGGGATTGTTGGTCAGAAAACAGTATTGGGAATCAACAAATAAAAGAGCTAAGGATAAGTACTGGAAGGAGTGCTTTGTAGTTGTTGAAAAAGGTGAAATACGAATGTACAAATTTGATACTCAAAGTTCGTCCGGTTCAGCTGGCGCTGGTGCAATAGGCGGAGGAAATTGGATGGTATTATATCTTATTTGATTTATATATGATCATCATGTATTTTATTTAATAATTTTTTGAAATAACCTAATATCAGGCAAACGCAACTGCTATGGGTGAAGTAAATCTCCGTCACACTATTACCAATGCTCTACCTCCACCGGGCTATAATCGTTCCCGTCCTCATGTGTTTGCTCTTTCGATGCCCAATGGTGGTCTTTACTTTTACCAAGCTGGTACAGCTGAATTAGTAGATGAATGGGTATCAACATGCAATTATTGGGCAGCAAGGATGAGCAAAGAACCTTTAACTGGTGGTGTGAGCAACATGGAATACGGTTGGGGTAGATGTTTAGAACCAATACTCGATAATGATGAATTTTCAGATAAAAAAAGTGTAATGAGCGACCATCGTAGTATTATGAGTGGTGGCTCAACTTATGCTAGTGATCGAATTTTTGTTAATGAGTGGAAAGCGCCAATACCGCCCGGTGTCTCTAGTAATCTTGATGAAGTATGTAGTTTTCCTTTTTTTTTTTTTTTTTTTTTTTTTTTTTTTAACTTAATACAACAATAATTGAGTAATACGGTTAATACGATTCAATTTTAAAGGCTGGACAACTCGCTGCTCTGAAAAAATATAAAGATGATCTTGAAGAAGAACTAGAACAGCATAAGAATTTCTGGGATCCTATGTCAAAATTGGTAATTTGATTTTATGGTGTTTATTTATTCTTATGTGTATGCTATTTTCATTATTTAATCTATTTTATTTCCAATATTTATTCTGAATTTCAGTTTAGTCCACGCTCATCAAATCATACTAAAGCTTTCTCCAATTGGGAGAGAAAATCCCAATGGTTACTATATGAAATAATTAAGTATACAACATACATTGAGTGTATTGAAAATTCAATGGTTATTCGTGAAAAGAAAAGGAAAGAAAGAGCTAAATTAAAAATGAAGGAAGCCGAAATTAATGAAAAGGTCAATTGCTTATTAGCTGCAGAATCTACCGATGATGATGAGAAACGAAAAGAACAAAAGCGTGCAGAATTGCGTGCTCGTGCACGTTTATCGATGAAGTTACTTCATCGTGCAACATGGACTCCAGGTGATGGTTTTAGTTTAAATTTACCTAAGGATTTGTTTGGTGATGAACAATTGAGTGACGGTGAAGATGATAGTCTTACACCCGAATTGATAAGTCATAATACAAAGCCTAAATCTGGCACAGAAATAAAAGCTGTAGTCGAAGAAGAACGACGGGTAGGGAACGTGAGTGATGCGGATTTAAGTTCAGGAACCAAATGGGTTGATCGTTTTGCATAACGATTTATTATTATGGAGGTGATAATATATGTAACATTTTGATACCAATTTTTTTTTTTTCTTTAATAATAATTAATAATTTATCAAATACCCTTGCTAATAATGTGTGATTTTCCCTTTAAAATCAATATGTAGACTAAACCGGGTGGATTATTACGGGGGCACTTAAAAAAAATATATATATACGTTATTTATTGGTTCATGCGAACCATCCGTATTTTTTTGTATTTATATAATATATATAAATGTATTACACGTTACATTATAATTTGTTTTTATCTATTAAATTTTATGGGGGTGTTTCTAAATTTCCTCTTGGTAAAAGATTTCCGGTGTTAAATGATATAGTTTACCAAATGTAAATCTATAATAAAAAATATATTAAAAAGTATCTTATTGCTGCTATTACAATACCTGGAATTTTGAAGCATTTTTTTTTCTCTCCAAGTTGTCATCTTTGGGCTGGGATTTTATTAGATACTTACGGATCATTGAAACTCCAGGGTTTACCAACATTAAGTACAGGGATAAACAGAGATGATATATCATAATATTGAACATTTGGACAATTTGGACATTTGGAAATGTGGACAATGTCCAATTTTTCCAAATAATTTAATTGAACATTATAAAGATTTTTCTTGGACATGAAAAATATTTTATCAGTAGCTTACAGTAAAAGTGTATGAGACATTTTGCAAGCTTGTTTATTTAAACCACCAGATAACACTGTTATTATATGCTACATTGTCAATAACTTGTTTATTTGGCTGCGAATTTAATGTGTCATTTTTCTGGGTTCTTCTAAAAGATTAACTATAAAGGAATAAGTGGTTCACCAACTGCAAAATAACATTATTTTCAACTTTACAAATAACGTAAGTCATAATTGACGTAATTGAAAAATAACAATCATTTTAGCTTTGATACATTATTCTAGTTTTTTTAGGGAGCGCCTATTTTCACCATGGAAATTTACTATGTTTTTCACATGACTTTTACTTTACTAAAATCGTTCATTTTTGCGATAGCGACAAAATATTCTATATCTAGTTTAAATTATTAATAATATAGGTCGCCAAGAGGAAATTTTCATAGTAAATCGCAAATTTAGGCAAATTTAGTTTCTTACTAGCACTATTAACGAGGTTTTTTGAAAAAATTAGTACTCCATCAAGAAACCAAATTTGTCTAAATTTGCGATTTGCTATGAGAATTTCCTCTTTGCGACCTATATTATTAATAATATATACTAGATCTAGAATACTTTGTCGCTATGCAAACATGAACGATTATAACAAAGTATATATACAAACATTGTTGTGGAAATAGGCGTCGAAAGTAAGCACCCTCTACAATTCATATATACCCGAAAACAGTGATGGGTTCGGACAGTGTCCCAAGCTTTTTTGCTACGTCCCAGTGTCCTAAAATGTCCCAACTAAGTCCCATGTTTTAATAATTAATAAATTAATTTAAAAAATATACAATTATAAATATTTTTAGATGCTGAATCTATTTTTAAAAAAATTAAAGTAGATTATTTTAATAAAATTTGAGTAATTTTAATTTATAAAATTGTTTCAAAATGTCTCAATGTAGATCCAAACTGTTCCAAACCCATCACTGCCCGAAAATAAGCACCAAATAACAAATAATTCAAATTATTAGTTGAGATTATACCTGAAAATAAGCAACCTTATAGCAAAAAAGGGTGCTTATTTTTGGAGGAATACAGTAATAAAATTTTTAGACAATTGTTTAATTAATACAATTGGAAAATATTCAATTAACTTTATAATTTTATTGAATATTATTTAATGTCTAATAGTTTTGAATTAATTAAATATAGTTCAAATATCTAAAAATCTAATTAAATCTATTTGAATATTGTTTAATACCAATACTAAGAATAAAAATACAACTAGTACAGAGGGATGACAAAAATAATTTTATATCTAAAGACTTGGCTTATAATTCAAAAACTTACTAATTAAATTATATTTTTGATTTTTTCTTATTCCTTGATAATTATATATTATTTTTATGAATATTTCTAACTATAACCAGTGGTGATCATCACCAGGGTCCTATATCTCAAAAACGTACTAAGTAAACAGGATTGGGTTCTCTAAGTAAAAATGTTTAGGACCCCCAAAAACCTTATGAAAACTGAGATTGGGCCCTAACAGGCCCTTATAGTGGGTCTATATTATTTTATATAAAAAAAAAATAATTCTCTAATTTCTAACCCTAACCCTAAAAATAATTAGGGGTGGTG